ACAAGCTGCAGGTGAGTGAGTCCTGGCAGGGGCCATGAAGGGTGGGGTGGGGTAGGTCGCTGCCGAGATGTGACCCCATTATTTCGGCTCCAGAATGACTTCATGGCCCTCGTGAAGGAAAATGCGGACCTGAAGGAGCGGGTGGAAAAACTAGAACTCGGACTCATCCAGCTCTCTGGAGAGAGAGACATGATAAGTGAGCAGAAGGCCAGGGCAGGGCAGAGGAGCTGCAGGGTGGTGGGAGGGGCCCCAGTATCTGAGCCTGTCCTCCCACAGGAAAGTCCATCAAACCAAATGACCGTCAGACAGCAGTGGCCAAGACCCAGCACCAGAAGAAGAACGATGTTAGCATGCTGTCCGAGGCCGAGGAGGGGATGAAGGTAAGGTGTACAACATCTCTGCGGGGGTGAGGGGGATGGGGGTGGGTGTGAGCGTGGGTGCCGGCACCGGCGTGGCAGCTGAGCAACCCTATCTCCAGGTGAAGCTGCTGGAGCTGCAGGGGCCAGTCATGCAGCTTATGATCAACCACGAGGTCCAGTGCCCTGCTATTGAGTGCACTCCAGGGGCCCCAGCCCCCCAGGAGCTTGGTGCTGCTGACAAGGATGGTGAGCAGAGCTGTCAGGCGGGATGGGCAGGCAGGAGCAGGGGAGGCTGGCACTGTACTCAGATCCCCACCTCCCTCTCTCCAAAGAATTTTATGAGATGAGCCTGGACAACGACAGTGACAGCCTGGAGCCTGCAGGAGGGAGGGTACACCACAACCCCAGTGCACAGCAGATGGTGCATGGCTTTGTGAGCTGCGGGATGGCCAGCAACACCGACCCTTGGGCAGCAGTCCCTCTATGCAATGATTTTACGGGGCTGCGGCGAAGGAGGAGGTAAACATCACCATCAGCTAAGAGCTGGCCAAGAAATTTACAAAGGAACTAAGTTATAGGATTAGTCTTCTACATGTTTATTTTATTTGAATGTTAGAGCCAGCCATGATGATTTGTGTTTCTAATTTTTAGTTTATTTGTTAAAAGTTAAAGGAGAGTGGGCCTTCGTGTGGCTTTCACTGATGTTCACTCTGGCATCCTTTAGCGTTTTTCATTTTTAATTTGATAATCATAGGTCATTAGCATGCCTATCGAGTTTGCCCTTACGTGGTGGGAGTTCAAACACACAAAGACCCACTAGTGGCACAAAACCATTCTCGCTAGTTTGAAATAGGCTGCCATGGTTTTTAATGTTATTGCAGCATGTATGTTCATTATGGAATTCAGATACAATTTGCTTATGCTCTGCTATGATAGTTGATGGAATCCTGATCACAGTGAGCTCTTAATTAGCTCAATATGTGCTTTGCCCTCACGTGCACACTGTTTATTACTTTGTAAGATGCCACTAGGAGTACTGACATTTAGAGTTGTTGAAAAGCCGAGAACTGGAAACAGCCTTTCTTCCATTTTCTGTGCAAATGGAGTAATAACATTTTGGGAGCTTTTAACATCTCACAGAAGAGGAAAATGGCCTGCTCTGGCAGGTATGTGCAGAATGGAGTATTTCATTCATTCCCATGCCAAGAATGAGCGCTGTGCTGTGGCAGTTCTTTTAGGGTTTTCCTGTGCTCTGGGCTCATGAAGATACTGCATTGTGAGCTGCGGCAGCTGTGCTCTTTTTTGATGAACTAAAAAGGGATGATTTCTGAGGAATAAAAGGCTCCCATCTTTGACTGTAGATGTGAAAAACCTTTCCTAGCTTAGAGCATTTATATCTATAATACATGGTAAAGTCAGAGTTTATGTTACCTGTTTCAATGACATGACTCCATGTCTCAGTACATAAGAAAGCACTGGTTGGCATTCTTCTTAATGTATTTAGTAAATATCATAATTCATAATAAATCCTTTAAGATAAAGTGTTATATATATATATATATATATATATATATATATATATGAATGGAACTTTGTATCATGGAGTGGATAGGCACTAAATATCGATGACTGAACAGGTAATGTGTGAGGACACTTGGTATAGTGCCTTGCACACAGAAAGAGACCACGGATGAGATTATCCGTTTGTATCATTTCACAATTTTACAAATTGCTATTTATTACAGTTCACATAGCAAGTTGCTGACAAAATGTCTGTTTTTATAAATCATCTCGAAAAAAAAAAGAAATCCTTTAAAACTTTAAATGTCCAGAAAAAAACAGAAAATTAAAAAAAAAATTTTTTGTTAAGTTTAAATGTCCCTAGAACAGGCATACAGGTTCTAGTCAAAAATGAATTAGAGTGCGGGAAAGCCGTGTGACACCTGGCATCCCTTTGTGTTCAAGGAGCTTCTTTGAGGCTACAAGACTGATTTGACCATCCAGACTAATCTGGCTAATACCTATTCTTCAACCACCTTGGTTACTCTGGCATAGGAATTGCCTTCGTTTTCTTCAATAAAAAGGACTTTAAACAACAATCACAAACAAAAAATAATAACCACAGGCATTATTATAAACGAAGATATGTGAGAGTACTTGGCTGAAACAAAAAGGAGTCTCAGTAGGGAGAATTGTACTATATTTGAAAATCAAGTTTATGCAACTTAAAATGTTTATAGACTGCATGCCATCTACTGTTTGTGAATGTCAACGTATTATCAGGAAAAGTGTCTGTACAATCACAGAGTTTTATTTCCTCACCAAGTTCTTTACCAAGAGTGAAATATGTTTTGATATCTTTCGTTTTCAGTTAGAGGCATATTTTGTGCAAGATTTATGTTAATGTGCCTCTACATTATGAATGAATTCTTTCAGTCAGGCATTGCCTAAATCATAACTTTATGATGCTTGGGAAAGAATCAACAGTTGAAA